ATATATATACATATATATATATATATATAAATATACGCACATACTCTCCTCTTCCTATATTTGTTCAAGCCCGGGCGGGGGGAAAACCCGTCCCCCCCCCAAAAAAAAACCGGGCTCCCGGGATCTGGGGCTTTGGGCCCTCCAGACGGGCCTCGAAGCGGACCCCCGAGCCTCGCAGGGCGTTTTGCCAGGCCTTCCCAGCACACCTAGGGCGATCGGGGGGGGTCATCGGAGACGTCCCAGAGACCTCGAAGACAGCACAAGAGCGCTCCAAGAGTGACCGACGTGACCTTAAGACGACCCCCAAGAAGCCATCATATCCCCAAATATCGTCCCGAAACGTCCCAAGAGGCCTCCAAGAGCACTCTCAAGAAGCTCCCGAATAGGCAAACATCCTTGATTTTCTATTGGTTTTTGGTGAATTTGGGGGTTCTCCTCTTTTGCGCTTCCCAACGCTCCAGGACGGCGGTCTTCTGGGCGCCCGAAGCCGCCTGGGAGGCTCTAAAATCGCCCCATAACCATTCCAAAGGGCTTCCAGGCAGTCCAAGAGAGCCCCAAAACGGCACAACAGGGGTCCAAGATGGCCCTCAGAGAGCCCCATGGCGACCCAAGATGGTCCCAAAACACCCTCCGAAACATTCCAAATCGTGACCCGGTCGTTCAGGGGGACCGCGGTTGGAGGCAGGGCGACCCGAGGAAGCCCCCAGAGGCCCCCAGAACACGCCCAAGAGGCCTCCAGAAGGCCTGAAGAAAGCTTGACATGACTTTTGCGAAGCCCCAAGAGGCTCTCCAATTGGAGGAGCCTCCGCAAAAAGAGCCGAGGAGGATGTGGAGAATGCCGCACTGTATGGCGAAAATGAAGAAAAAGAAGCATCGAGGAAGGATAACGAATAATATTATTATAGGGGCGATGCCAGAAAAGGCAACAAAGAGTTATCACTAAAGTGTCGGCTTGACCTTCCTGCTATTCCGCCTGCGTACCAAACTTCAAGGACCAAGGTGCATGGCGCGAAGCGTCACTGCAGTCTTGTGTCTATATATATGTGTATACACATATACAGATGTGTATACATATATATATATATATACACACATATCCTCGGGGCCGCCAAGAAACGACTCGGGACAAAAAACGGGTCCCGGGGAAAGGGTCGGGACTTCCAGGGACGCCGTCCTGGAAAAATCGGGACGTCGCATGTCTGGGGGCGGATCTTGGGCGAACAATAAAAAAATAGTCCCAGGGTATTCCAAAATAGCCGAATATACAAGAAAATTCATCCCCTTGATTTATTTGTCTACTTTGGATTACTTCTCCTGTAGAGGGACAGGCCCGACTGAACGCTGGCCGTGGAAACGACAAGGCCTTCTAATTGCCGATGCCGTGCTTCCGCTTCTTTGCCGGTTCTGGCGCAGTGTTGTTGCTGGTTCCGTCGCCGGCTCTTACTGCAGGTTCTGGCTTCGGCTTCCATCCCAGAGCCGTTCCCCGTGCCGTTTCAGGTCGCCGTTCCTTTGACGACTTCCATGCTCGACCCAGACATGCGACGTCCTGACTTTTTCAGGCCGGCGTCCCCGGAAGTCCCGACCTTTTCCCCCGGGGCCGGTTTTCCTCCTGAGTCGTTTTTGTTGACGGTCCCGGGGCCCGGCGAGGGCCCCCAGGGGCCGAAAATTGCGAAAAACTCGCCGTCCTGATTTTTTCTCGAAAATTGCGAAAACTTGCGAAACACTTGCAACAATTGCGAAAAAACTTGCGAAACATGCGAACACCAAAATTTTACGACGCGATCATGTCTGGGAAGAGATGCTCTCTCGCACGCGAGGAAGAGGCACCCCTGCCGTTCTCCCGCGGCCAGCTATAGCCCCGGAGCCCGAGCGGCGATGCCTCTCAGGGTCCAGCGAGCAGGTCCCCTGAGACCCGATGTCATGATGTTTTCCATGCGGCGCCCCCCGAACCCTGACTCCGGATCCGCCCTACTTTGGCTTTTTTTCCAACTTAGAATTGCGTCGGAAATCCTCCTATCAGAGGCCGAAAAAGTAGGGCGGAAATTGCTGCACCCAACATAAAATAGGGCGGAAATCCACAGAAACTAGCAAACAGAAAAGTAGGGCGGAAATTCGCATCAGCGGGGCTTGGCATCAGCGGGGCTGAAAAGTAAGGCGGTAAATCCAAGCCCTACTTATAGCGAATTTCACCCAAAGCATAGGGCGATCCGGTTAGTCACGGAAGTCCGACACCTTCACGGGGCCGGTTCTCATACCCGGGTCGTTGATGACGCCCCTGGGCCCGGCCGAGAGCCCATGGAGGCCGAGACCGATAAATAAGATACGACAAACCTCCGTCCTGCTTTTTGTCCAATCCGTCGGACCTCGGGGCCTGGCTTGCGGGCCACGCCTCCGGGCCCCCCGGCGCCCGCTCGGGACGACCCCGGGCCCCCCCACACACAGCGGGCCCGGCGAGAGGCGCCGCTGCTCCCAAACACCCAACTTCGTGAACACGTGCTTTGCGTCTCCGCTTCCGGCCTCCGGGAGCCCTCCCCGGGCCCCAGGACCGTCAGAAGGAAGGGGCCCTGGGACACACAGATAAAGACACACAGTTTCCTCCATTCTCTGGGCTTTTGTCTTCCCCCCGCACTTCCCATATTTTCCCATCCTCTCCTGGAGATCGACGGTTCATTGTGTCTGTGTGTGCTTTCCCCCTCCTGAGAGAAAGCGATCGGGGGCGCAAAACGGATCCCCAGGAAGATGTCCAGAGCGCCCGGGGACCCCGTGCGGCAATGGTCCGGGCAAAGGACCCAACCATCGGAAGGCGTGGGTGCCGCAAGGCAACAGGGACGGAGGAGACGACGCGGACGACGTCCAGGAACTCCTGGAGCCGGCGCCATGGGGTCTGTAACCTATTAGTTCCTAGTCCTGTTCCTCCTCGTCCTCCTCCTCCTCCTCCTCCTCCTCCTCCTCCTCCTCCTCGTCCGAATCGACGACGACATCCTCCGGGAACGACGAGGACGACGTCCAGGAACGAGGAAGAAGAATCGCTGGGCACTCCTGGGGCACGACGACGACGACGACGACGACGACGACGACGATGACGACGACGACGACGACGACGACGACCACGAACGACGAGGACGACGAACTATTGAACACTTCTGGGGCCTCCTGTGTTTTTGTGGGGCCTCTGGGAGCGTCTGGGTGCCTCCTGGGCGCTCCTGGAGTTTCGCGGCGTCTACTGGAGCCTACTTGGGTTTCCCGTGGCCGACCGAAGCGCGGAAACGAAGGCTGCGCTGCACCAGGAACACCATTTTGGAAATACCAGAAACGACCGAATTGAAAGAACACGTGGGACAAAAACAAATACTGAGATCTGGCGTAAAAAAAAACAAGACGCGGAGAGGACGGGAGACTCTCCAGACAGAGTCAGGGGAGAGAGGAAAATAGTATGCATATTGTATGATTGTGAAGGCCCCCCCCCCCTGATGCTGTCCCCTGTGGCTCGCGCTCTCCGACAGACATGCGACGTCTTGTTGTTCCCATGTGCGGGGCCCTTTCGCGCGTCCACCCTCTCCCCGAGAGAGGCCCCGGAGAAAACGACACAACAACAAACTTGACCAAATGATGAACATCAGCGAAATAATCGTCTGACGAGGGGCAGCGTTGGGGGCGCCGCCAAGGGGCCCCGAAATTCAAAACTGGAGCGGCTGACTCTTGCAAGCCGCCTGGGGGATCTCGGGGCCACCTTGGACAGCCCCTGACCCGCCGACTGCACTTCGGCCGCCCGCGGGTTGGATCTGCCGGCCGGCAGGAGGGGAGGAAGGGGGGGAGGACGAGGAAAAACGCACCGAGCAGACACGGACCAGGAGGAGGGAGGGAGAGAAGGCAGGGGCACCAAGCATGCGCGCAGGGGCGGGCGGGGGCCGTCGAAACACGCAAACCGTCGGAGCCCCGCGCGATGTTGATGGGGGAAGCCGATCCCAATGGAAGCGGGTCCTGGACCCTGGGGAGGGGGAGGAGGAGGGGGAGGAGGAGGAGGGGGAGGAGGAGGAGGAGGAGGAGGAGGAGGAGGAGGAGGGGGAGGAGGAGGAGGAGGAGGAGGAGGAGGAGGAGGAGGAGGAGGAGGAGGAGGAGGAGGAGCCATCCTGAGCCGTTTCCTGACCAGCGGCCAGCGTGGAGGCGCGCGACTCGCCGCCAGCCATGGCGGCCAGCGCGCGGGCGGCCCCTTGCGCGCTCTCGCCCGGGCGGCCTTCGAGCTCGGACGCGCGCGGGGATATGTTGAGCTCCGCATGGCGTCGCCGCTTGGCCCTCTCCTCCTCTGCCGCTGTGGCTCCGCCCCAGCTGGCCGCCCCGCGGACAGCGCGGGCGCCTGCCGCAGCGACGTCAATGGCCACGCGCCTGCCGTCGTAGTTCGTAGTTGAAGATGACGTCCAACGCGCCCCTAGCCTCGCCGTCCGCCGTCGCGCCCACCATGGCTGGCGCCCGCAAACTCTCTAGCCGCTGCTCCCGGAGCGCGCGAGGGCCGATGCTGGCCTTGGCGAAGCGCCGCAAGATGTCGCGGATCTAGTTGTGGCCCCCGACAACCTCCCCGCCGATCTGGCACGCCTCTGCGTGCACGAGTCCGTCGAGGCCATCCAGCTGCGCCCCGCAAGAGCCCCGCGTTCCGGAGCGGTGGCAATGCGTCTCACCATGTGCCGGAAAGGCTATCTTCTCTACCGTGCGCAGCAGGCGTCTGCGCAAGGCCACGCGCCAGGCTTCGTCCGAGATGGCCGGGTTGCCGGACTCGGGCGCGCACAAGAAGCTGCCTGCTCCAGCGCCTCCTGCTTGCCGTAACTGCGCCTGGAAGGGTTCCAGGACGCCGTTGGGGGTGGTCTCGCACGCCCAGAGGGCCACGGCGTCCATGATCATCCTCTGCATGCGCTTGTGGGATTCGGCGGTGAAGTCCAGTTTCACATCGCCGACCAGCGCGGGTGCACAGGCCGCCAAGTCAGCTCTCGCCTTCTGCAGCTGAGCCGCGGGTCCAGGAAGAGCTGCGCGCGTGCGAGCCCTGCTCTGTGCACACGGGAGCCCCGGCGCACTGTCGCCAGAGGTGTTGGCGCCATCCCGCGTGAAAAGCAGCGGACGCCCGCAGCGCGGCCGACCCAAAAGCACCGCCGCCGTTGCGAAGCGGCAAACTGCCAATCGCGATCTGCCCCAGGGTCAGGTCGACACCGATCAGCTCGGCCAACGCGTCCGCGACGGCGCCGTCGTAGGCCGCGAGTGTTCGTTCACTCCAGAGGCGCGAACGGAACCGGTGCTGGGGGGCCCCGACCGTGAAGTAATGCAGAACCGCACCAGCGACCTTGTAACAATGCACTCGCTGTCGGGCGCCCATTGACAGTAGCAGCAGTTTCGCACGCCAGAGCCGCCGTTTTCTGCATCTCATACTCAGAAGTGCCCAACCCTACCGTCAAGGGGACTTCGCGGTCGTGGTGATAGAACGCACAGCCCAGCACGGGGAGGTCGAGCACCACAGCGCGGTGCAGCGCGTCCGTGAGTGTCTGCGCAGCTTCGGGCGAGGCCAGCCAGCCTTCCGTCTTTTCCGCGGCGCACCGCGAGCCCACCCGGGCAAGCTTGGCAGCCAAGACGTCGATCGAGGCCGCGAGCTTGGCAGCAGGCCCCGCGATGCAGATGCCGCCCGCGTATGCCACGAGACTCCTCCCAAGGCCTCGCCGGTGAAGCTCCTCAAGAGTGAGCTCCAACGCGCCGGCTAAAATCACGCAGAGGAGGGAAAATCTGAACACTTGCGGCACGTCAGTGCGTTGCTCGACTGCTCGGCCCAGATCGTGTCGCCGTCGGCTGTGTCGTAGGCGATCAGGGCGGTGGCTCTGAGCAGGCGGTCTGCCAAGGGGCTCATCCAGGGCGTGCGCGCCTGAACGGCCGCCCGAGCTGCTCCCCAGGCGGACCGTGCCGCGGGCGCTCTTCAGGTCCACGCTGGGCGCGCCCCTGGCTTTCCCTGACTCCGCGGCCAAGCCGAGCGCCTTGAACGCTGCGTCGGCGCCGCCAGCGCGAGCGCGAAGTGCATGGAGCCAACGGCGTCCTACACATCCTGCCGCTTCCACCGGAGTAGGGCTCGCATCGCCAGCCACCAAAGAAACGCGCCGACCGCCGTGGGACGAACGCCGCCGTTGCTCTTCTGCAGCACGACTAGTGTTTGGCGCGAGAAGATGTCGCCGAGCTCCTCGGGGGCAGACTTTAAGGATGAGACTTCCAAGCGGTCGTGGATCACCACACTCTGAGGGTCGCCTCATCCTTGAAGATGGGCTTAGGCGCCCTGAAAGCCTATAGCGCACTTGGCAGTCCTCCTCCTCCTTCTCCTGCTCCTCCTCCTCCTCCTCCGCCTCCTCCTCCTCCTCCTCCTCATCCTCCCCCTCCTCCTCATGCGACGCCTCCTCATCCGACGCCTCCCCTTCCTGCCCCTCTGCCTGCTCATCGCCGCCTCCTCTTCCTCCTCCTCCTCCTCCTCATCATCATCATCATCATCATCCTCCTCCTCTTCTTCTTCCTCCTCCTTCTCGCCCTCCTCCTCCTCCTCCGCCGTGATGCTGCGGCTCCTCCTCCTCCTCCTCGCCTCCTCCTCCTCCTCTGCCTCTTCTGCATTGATTATGCCGTCCTCTGCCTCGCTCCTCCTTTTGCGCCCCGTGCGGCTCCTCCTCATCTGCCGACGCCGTCGCCTCCCCTCCTCGTCCCATCCTCCTCCTCACTCCTCATACCGCCAGCTGCTCCGCCTCCTCCTCCTCCTCCGCCGCCTCCTCCTCCTCCTCGCTCTCCTCCTCCTCCTCCTCTGCGGCCGTCTCTGCTGCTCCGCTCCTCCTTCCTCCTCCTCCTCCTCCTCCTCCTCGAACCTCCCTCCTCTCCTCCTCCTCCTCCACCTCCTCCTGCGCCTGCTCCTCCTCCTCCGTCCTCCACCTCCTCCTCCTCCTCCTCTCCTCCTCCTCCCCCCCTTCTCCTCTTCCCTCATCCGTCCTCCTCCTCCGCCTCCTCCTCCTCCTCCCCTCCTCCTCATCCTCCTCACTCGCCTCCGCCTCCGCCTCCGCCTGCCTCGCATTCTCACTGCCTCTGCATCCGCATACCTCCTCCGCAGCATCTTGCGCCTCCTCCTCCCGCCTTCCTCCTCATCATCATCATCAGCATCCGTCCTCGTCCTCCTCCCTCTGCTTTCTCTGCCTCCTCTGCCCTCCTCGGCCTCCTCTGCCTCCGCCTCCGCCCCCTCCTCCCTCCCCTCCTCCTCCTCCGCCGCCGCAGCCGCCGCCGCCGCCGCCCGCCGCCGCCCGCCGGCTCCGCCTCCTCCCCTCCGCCGCCGGCTTTTCTGCGTGCTCCCACACTCCCTTTCCTCCTCCTCCTCCTCCCGCCTCCGCCTCCTCCTCCTCCTCCTCCCCCTCCTCCTCCGCCTCCTCCTCCCCTCAGGACCCGCTTCCCCCATGGCGGCTCGTTGGGCCGGACCGCCCGACGCCGAATCGCTGGCCGAGGCCCCCCCGGGAGGCCGCGGCGGCCGCCCAGGAGGAGCTGCGGAGCGAGGAGGTGCTCGGACGGCTTGAACCGTGGGCTGTCACCCCGACGGAGCACGCAGACGGGCGGATGAGGAGGAGGGAGGAGGAGGAGGAGGAGGAGGAGGAGGACGAGGACGTTCAGGAGGAGGAGAAGGAGGAGGAGACGAGGGAGGAGGAGGTAGAAGGAGGAGAGGAGGAGGAGAAGGGAGGAAAGGAGGAGAGGGTAGTAGGAGAGGAGGGAGAAGGAGGAGGAGGAGGAGAGGAGGAGGAGGAGGGAGGGGGCGAGGAGGAGTAAGAGGAGGAGGAGGATGAGGAGGTGAAGGAGGAGGAGTGGCGAGGAGGAGAAGGAGGAGGGAGAGGGAGAAGGATGGAGGTGAGGAGAGGAAAGGAGGAGGAGGAGAGGAGGAGGAGAGGAGGAGAGAGGGAGGAGCAGGAGGAGGAGGAGGAGGAGGAGGAGGAGGAGGAGGAGGAAGAGGAGGAGAACGAGGAGGAGGACGAGGAGGAGGAGGAGGAGGAGGACGAGGAGGGGGGGAAGAAAAGCTAGGTGCGCTCGCGTCATATCTGACATCATACCCCTCCCTCCCATCCCTTACCATGGCGTAGATCCCCTCTCTACTCGCACAGTCAGGTGTCGAGCAGGGCAATGATCCCGAAAGGGTACGCGATGCATTGTAGAGCACGGCATGGCATGGCGTAGAAGAGCACCGCAAAGCGTAGTATGTCGTATGTCACAGCATGGCGTGGCGTGGCGTAGTGAAGAATTGCATCACAAAGCTTTGCAACGCAAAGCATGGCATCGCACAGCGGCCCCGAGCATAACATTGCCTTGCATGGCGTTGGAGATCAAGGCGTAGCATGGCATAGCATGACGTGGCACTTAAGCACTGGATATGACAGCTACAGCTGAAGGCATGGCATCTCGCAGCGGAACGCAACCTAGCATTGCATTGCATGCCGTGGCATGGCACAGGAAATGACGCCAGCGCTGCAGCGGGAACACGATTCGGAACGAGCGGAAGCGCGGACATGTGGCCAGCGCTGCAGCGGGAACACGATTCGGAACGAACGGAAACACGGAAATGAGGCCAGCGCTGCAGCGGGAGCACGATTCGGAACGAGCGGCAGCCCGAAAATGAAGCCCGCGCCTCAGCGAGAGCATCATTCTGGAAAAAACCAAACGAAAACCCAACAACGGGAACACGGCGTAAACAAACAGTACGCGGAGGGGTACCCGCTATCTTCCGCACGCCATCAGGGGATGGAGGAGGGTATTATTCATATTCTGTACGTGTGGAGGAGGAGGAGGAGGAGGAGGAGGAGGAGGAGGAGCAGGAGGAGGAGGAGGAGGGGCGAGGAGGAGGAGGAGGAGGAGGAGGAGGAGGCGGGGGAGGAGGAGCAGGATGGGAGGAGGTGGAGGAGGAGGAGGAGGAGGAGGAGGGGAGGAGGTAGAATGAAGAGGATAAGGAGGAGGAGGAGGAGGCGGAGGGGAGGAGTTGCGGGAATGCGGATGCGGAGGCGGATAGGAGGAGGAGGAGGAGGGCAGAGAGAAGGAGGAATATGATGATAACGAAAAGGGGAGGAGGAGGAGAGGAGGAGGGAGGGGAAGAGGGGAAGGGGGAGGAGAGGAGGAGGAGGAGGAGCAGTAGGAGAATGAGGACAAGGAGAAGGAAGGAAGGAAGGAGAGAGGGAGGAGGAGGAGGAGGAGAAGGAGGAGGAGGCGGAGGAGGAGGAGGAGGAGGAGGAGGAGGGGGCAGAGGAGGAGGCGGAGGAGGAGGAGGAGAAGGAGGAGAAGGAGGGGGTGAAGGAGGATAAGGAGGAGACGACGGAGGAGGAGGAGGAGGATTTTTTTTTAGGGTCAACCCATGATCAGCCACATGACTCCGCTGGCGTGGCGAGTGCCAGCGAGAAAAACGGCCGCGCCACGGTCGGGGCCGTGCCCCCGTGGCGCGACCGAAGCGCGACCAGGGAACGCAGGAGACCGTGCTCCGCGCTCCCTGGTCGGGGTAGGGGGCGCAGGAGCACGTGCTCCGCGCCAACCCTACCCACCACCCACTCCATGGGTGGCCGCTTTTCGGACCCCGGGACCCCGACACGACACGACACGACACGACA